TATATATATATATATATATATAAAAGTTTTATTATCAATCGATATGTGCATTAACAAATTACAAAATGATCAATTAAAAAATAACATGTGTCCAATTTGTGCACTCATCACTTGCCTTCAAGAGAGCTTGCACATCTCTCTATGATATATCAGCATTTGTGGTGTATTTATTCCATTTTAAATTAGTTCGGGAGGGGGGGGAGTGGTAATAGAACTCTAGTTTTGTGTCTCTGAGATTTCGATCTTAGTTTAGGGGGTACTTATGCATTTTACCTTAGAAAAAATAAAATAAAAGGCTTTCTTTCCCTTTTCTTCTTTGCATATGCCCAAAACAACGCACCCACCTCCGATGTCCATTCTTCTCCCTTTTTTTGTGTTCGAACACACAAAATCCTCGCGGGTCAAAATTACTTGCACTCCGATAATCATCCTCACTCCACTTATGAATCTTTAAATATTTTAAAGAAAATAATTTCATATTCGTAATAGTTTTGTCGGAAAAAATGAAATTTCGTCAGAATTATTTTTAACTCAATTTGATTTTTGTTTTTGATGAAATTCTCTTTCGTAACTTAAATGGAAATCTTTATCAACAAACTCTTTTAATTTATTGTGTTTTGACATGTTATATATTTAATTGATGTTTTTTCGATGACGATAACAACAACGACAATATTGATGATGATGGAATGATGTCCAAAAGAAAGTATGAGGGATTATTTGAGAAAGGGGTGTGTCGATGGTGGGAAAGGAATGGTGGAAGAGTGTTCTAGGTAATAGTATTGAACTGAAAAGTCCAATCGGAAAAGATGAATTTGGAAAGTACTGCCAACAATTTTTTCTTTAAAAAGTTCATATTATGATTTTTCTTTTGTTGACATGTTCATTTCTTATTGGTCCAAAAAAAGATTTTTTTGGCTTCACGCGCATCTTAAATGTGTATTACACTTACAATGTCATGTTATCAAAAAGTATTAAATAGAAACATGTATTAAAGGGTAGAGGTGTTTAATAGGTACAAACCCTAGTTGAGATGTCTAAATAAATTATGCAAACAACTTTAAGGGGCCACATATGACTTAAGACAAAAATAAATTTAATCATGATCATGTATGCATATCCATGTATTCATTTTTCTCGAAATTTGTATACATTCCAGATTCTTTTTTATAAAATGAGGATTGCTAATAACATATGAAATGCTCGATCTAAAACACACAAGTCGAATCAGATAACGAGAAGAACTCACATGGCTATAAAATTTAGAGTTATGGATGGAGAATCCACAAAATTAGAATCAAAATTCCTATTTTATGAATAAAACTTTCTAAAACACGACGATTCATACCCACAATTAATTACTATTACATAATTTTTTACCTAAATTAAATATAACCTTCAATTTCAAAATTAAAACCCCAAATAAAATTGAATAACAATACAAGAGGCGATCAAACATAAGCTAACAATTGTAGAAATTGACGAGTAAATATCAACAAACCATCAAGAATTTGAGAAAAATATACTATGAATGAATGTTTTTATAAAATTCAATATGCAAAACTAATAAGGCGGAATGGTCTGGTGGATCCTTATACTAGTACCAGTTTGTATTCTGAACTCTTCTACTTAGCCCTTTATCATCTAGACCCCTACACTAAATAAAACACAATATATTAAATCCCTTTGACCATTAACCATGCTTCTTTGAGATTAAAATAACTAAGTTGGCGAGATAGTGTGATTACACGCATTTAAGGCGAGTGAACATCATATTTTAAACTT